GTGAACAAAACTATAATACTCTCTTTAGAAACTTTGTTGCGAGAGTATAAAAAATATTCTGAAATGGTGGTAACACCGTGAAATCGGTAGTAAATGGGAGCAGAGTTTAACAGCAGCATTTTTAGGTAAAAGTAAGAATACAATACATGTATGTAGAAGTATATGCTTGAGCTGCTTTGCCGCGCAGCACATGCCACTTGGGGCTGGCAGCGCGGAGGCAGAACTTTGTGGCAAAAGTTACATGTAATGCCACTATAAGTAGCAAGTAATAAGCAGAAATTTACATGTCGCTGCTGTATACCTAATTTCGGATAATAATCTACCTCCTGCTAAAGCGCGCACGTATACATATGTATATCTGTGTATGTGTATATGCATCCGTGTCAGGCTCACAGCTCGTGCAAGAAATCTGACGAGATAAACGCTTGCTTCGGTGAAGCGTTGCAGTGAAAAGATGTCATGGCCAGCAGTCAAAACGAATTAGTAGGGAAATTAAGTGAATGGAAGTAATTTGCGGATTTTGGCTTCCGAAGCTTTACTTTCGTTTGCATAAAATGGCAAAAAAAAAAAGACGTAACCACAAATCGATTGATCGGTTCAGAACTAATGATCTTTGTTAACAATTTAAAAATGTAAATTGTAATGGGTTTGGACCCCAGTATCTTTTCTTTCCGCATACATATACTAGTCAAAATATGAAATATATAATTGAAATTCAGAGATAATTATTTTCTCATAATATTAAGACTGTGAGTCAAAAGTGGACTGAATCGGATCGGAACTTTCTTTAGCCCCCCTAAATCTAATATAAAAAGTTTCGAACTTTCGTACCACTTTAAACCGCACATAGTATATCGGTCAATGAGTGAGTTATCTCTATGAAGATGAGAGAACGCTTTTTGCTGATACAGCCGGAATAATATCTTGGATTCCAAACCTCTGGTTGACGTTTTGCACCTTAAGGTATTTTCCTGGCCTTGTGTTCTGCCATGTTAAATAGTACATATATAGTGCTTCTGGTTTTAATTTACATTTCATCTATGAATTAGTCTCATAAGTTTTAACTGATAACTTTTTTTCTATCTTTTCAGTTTACATTACGCGCCTTTAACAAGGGTAAGTGAAATAATCTACTCCAATACTTGTATAGAAAATATTTACTTCAGCAAATTGTTTAAAAATCTTGGTAATCTTAGAAATATTCATGATTTTTCATATTATAAAACATTTATTGTAAAACGTCCAGCGGCTTCTAGAATATAACAATTTACACTAAAGTGGTAGGTGGAACACCAGATGAAAGTGGTTTTCTCGATTTCTAACATATCATCTTATCACCAAAGATTGATATGTCTATATTCTTATAAATCTGAATCAACCGTTGCTACTATGTAATAGAAGAATTCATAAAGTATTGCCGAACTAAAATTTGACTCAAACTGATTACACGTATTTTAATATAAATCTCTTTAAAATAGACTCATTTTGATCCAATATAAGCATGACAGCGCTTAATCGAATTTTCCATATATATTATATACTTCTTCCAAGTCTATTCGGGGATGGTCTTCAATGCCTACAGCGAATTTTCGGAGCGCCATTCGCAAGATTGGTGGACAGCTTCGATGTCATATAGATAAATACTCGTCTCATTACCAGTATTGCTATAAACACTCAAACCTACAGAATGGGGCTGCCAGATCGAGAAGACTCCGAAACATATCAAGAATGGGGTAGTCAAATGGAGAAGACTGCAAAACATATCAAGATCAAGGCACCTGGAAAAAATTTAGCATCTTGTGGCACTTGCTCCGCAAAGCCTTTACAACGTTAAGAGCATATGGGGCTCGTTAGAAATGACGGCACTCCATCAGGTAACAGTTTAGACAACAAGACTAACCACCTAACCCATATATTGGGTAGTCGAAAAAGTCTTTTCGTTTTTTTAAAAGAGATGTCGTTGCAGTCGTATATCTCCCGTGCTACCAATCACATTGTGTTACACCACTTGGAAAGGTGACATTTTAAGCTTCATTTAACCAAAGAAATTAAATTCAGGAAAAATTACATTTGTTCGAAAATGAATGAAAATAATGAAGAAATTCGCTTTCTTTTGAAATGTTTGTATAAAAAAAGGAAGAATGCCACGAAAGCTATCAATGAAATATATTGATATGATGTCCTCTGTTCTAGTTAGTGCACTTTCTGTGAGGCCCAATATTTAAAGTTACAACATTATTAAGTCGCTCACATTGAATAAAAGTAAATTTTTCTAATGAAACGGAGATGACGTTCGACAGCAGCAAAAATTTGAAAGCCACTTCGTTACTTAAGGATCTGGTATAGCATAAAATGCTGTACCACAAACCGACATACTTTTTAATTCAGAAAGTTTCAAATTATGTCAAAGAGAGTTTATTGCGGAGCACATTCTTTGGTAGTAAAGAATTTTCACTAAAATTTCGTCCAATATCCCTATCTAAGTAATATATTTCATTGCTACTTTTAATGGATTACACAGCTCAAGCTTGTAGCATTAGAATTGAAAGGTTAGTACTAAAATAAGGAACCCGAGAAAAAAAAAAGGGATTACATTTACAAATGCATCCAAAGAGTCTTCTAAAATAACAAATTTAAATACCTCTGCCTAATTTATGGTGCAGTCTGTTAATGCATAAAAACTAACTGTATGCTGCAAGCATAAAAATACATATTTACGAGACACACACACACACACACATGGAAACCGGTGCTCATTAGTAATGAAGCAAAAATTTCGCCGACGGCTACTCAAACTGATGCTGCGCCATTCTCCCGCCGGCTGTTGCTGTCGATGGTTGCTTGCAATTGTGCAGAACAAAAGCAAGGACGCAAAAGAACGCAATGCCAGCGGGATTGGCAGTGACTTTGTAGCGTGAGGAAAGAGGAGAGAAGAGAATTAAAAGTTAATTACCATTTCATTGCGGCTTGGTCAAAAGAAGTTTAGCATGTTGCACGTGTTCTACCATCATTAACATTATTTAGCGTGCAACAGCAACAACAAGTGTATAGTGTGAAGGCAACAGCTAATGAAAAAGTTAGCAAGTCGGAAAAGAGTTTTACGAAGTCAAGCAACACGCTACACGCCGGTGCTTATATAATACAACATATATAATTGTGAGCGAGTAATACTCGTGAACACGCCATACGCAAAATGCCGATGGGAAGTTTGACTTCAGTTTACGAACGCAAAGAATTTACCTTGAGGCAATTGCAAGCGAAGCAGCTTACTTAGATGCTACACGCAATGCTACAAAATTAATGGCGTCAAAAATAACTTAAGTATTAATAAATAATAGTCATGAAAAATGCAAAACAACAACAACAAAAATACAAGTTAACTTCGGCTGCACCGAAGCTGTAATGCCCTTCAACAATAAAAAGTTTCCATACAAGCACTTTAATTTGAGCGATCGGTTTGTATGACAGCTATATGCTATAGTGGTCCAATCTGAAAAGTTTCTTCGGAGAATAGAGTGATGTCGGGAATAAAAATATATGCTAAATTTCGTGAATATATTTCGTCAAATAAAAAAGCTTTCCATACAGAGACTTGAGTTTGATAGATCAGTTGGCAGCTTTATGCTAAAGTGAGCCGATCTGAACAATTTCTTCGGTAGTTCTACAGCTGCCTTGAACAATAATTTATTCCAAACTTCATAAAGATATCTTGTCAAATACCAAAGTTATTCATACAATAACATTTCATCCGTTTGTATGGCAGTTATATACATAGCATATCGGTCGAATATCGACGGCTCCAACAAATGAACATACACTTATGGAGTAAAGGATGTTTGCACTGTTTGAGATCGATATCTCGAAAATTGAGGGACTAGTTTATGTATATACAGACAGACCGATGTACATGGTTAAATTAACTTAACTCGTTAATCACCGAATCTGTAGACTTGCTGAGTTAAAGAGAGGTTCCTAAGTAACCTTGAATTGTTTAATGAAGCTCACATTGCTTTAGATTGTAAATCAAAACTTTCCAACGGAGTGGAGGATTACATTTCCTCTCGGAGCCAAGTCGCGAGTGCAACTAATGTTTGTTTGATGACAGGACATATTTCATCTTACCCTCGTTCACCACTGGACCCATTCCCTTATCCTGCCTGGAGAAAGCAGAATTAATGGCACGGATGTTGTGATGTTGTGATATCATCGGCGTCCGCCAACAGCTGTACACTCTTATAGAAGATTTTACCTGCTCGATTAAGTTTTGTAGCTCGAATTATTTTGCCGAGCAGTAGATTGAAGAAGTCGCACAATAGAAAGTCGTCTTGTCCGAAATCTCTTTTGGTATCGAACAACTTGGAGATGTTCGTCCCGCACTGACGAAACAATTGCGTCAATGTCAGCTTACATAGCTGTATTAGTTTTGTAAAGATGGTTGCTTTTCGTGCTGTCAAAAGCAGCATTGAAATTGACGAAGATGTGGCTATTTTCATAGATCAATTATCGATTTTTCGGGCCTAAAGCCACACTGATAAGGTCCAAACAGTTTGTTGACGGTTGGCTTCAGTCTGGCACGCACTCGATAGAGCCTTATATGCGATGTTGGGGAGGCTTACCCCACGGTAATTGGCACAGATTGTAGGGTCTCTCTTTTTGTGGATTGGACAGAGCACACTTAAATTATAATCGCCGGCATGCTTTCGTCCGACCATATTCTATAATGAATAGTTTAAGTCACTGTAACTTTACCAAGAACTGCTCTCACCTCAATATTAAAAGTGTCAGAGAATCCTATCCGTTCCAACTTTGTCATACCTCTCTAAAATAGTTTTAATATTGTGAGATTCAAGTTTCAAATATATTCAAAACTGCTGACGTTGAATAATAAAAGTTGACTGATTAAAGTTTTTAAATTTTTTTTACTGGAAACTTGTATTCGAACCACCTATTACCAAATACATTTCTTATGCCTTCGCTTCTTGCTACAAAGGCAAACCTGTAGTTCATTATCGTGGCATAAAACAAAACTGGCCATCGTTGACAAACTCACATCATACATACATCAATACAACCATAGTTACTCGCATATAACAACATAATAAACAGCGAACTCGCAGCGGTTAAAACGTGTCTTCAGCCGCTCATGTTCAAGCTGTCAATTCGAATGCGGCACAGCGGCACTCACTTTGCGTTCGACAGCGGACGCCTCACTGCTTGGGTCACTGACCACAGACACGCTGGGCGCTGGGCACTGCGCGCCAACCGCTGGCATTATTGGCCGACCAGCCTGCCGGACTCGTCGTAGTGGCTGCGCTATTTGGCTTGACAGCAAAGTGTGTGAATGTACTTCAATCACACACACACTCTCTCATGTTCACAACGTCGCACGCACCGCATGTTCATGGCGCTGACGCTGCTCCCGGTTGTGCTGGTCTAAATGTGTACGCGTGTGTGTAGAATACGCCCCAGACAAGTTGGTAGATGAACCGACTGGCAGTCAACAGTTGGCCAAACATGCGAAACAGCGGGGGGAGGCTTCGTGTCATCTTCACTCTGTTGTTGCTCATTTCCACTGATGGCTTTTTTAGCTGTTTTCTGTTTTGTGCTGTCCGCCTCGCATTCAATCAAATTACTGCTCTTTATTGTTTTGCCTGTTTTGTTCTGTCGTTTCGTGTTGTTTTGCTCATAATCTTCTTGATTCCTTATTAATGGCAATGTAATCATAATCATAATTATATTTTGTTTCCATTTTATTTGCCTTTTGATCCGGTTTTATTTATGACCGGCTGAGCGAGTGGAGTGTTTTTTAAGATTATTATTTCGTTTTTTATGTCCACTGCCGACATATGGCAATTTGATGCTAGTGACACTAGAAATACTTGGAATTTTAATTAAAATAATTTTCTGTTGAATTTTGTCAGCTAAAAACGATTCAAATATTTTCTGCAATGTCTCTAAAAAACAAAAAAATAAATATGCCAGAGATTTCCGTTAAAAAATAAATTAAAATTTAGTTCATGGTTCAACTGTTAGCCATTTAATGAGACTTGACTCCTTAATCTAATTGGTTAAAAATAAACCAACTTTTTTCTCTAAAAATCTCTCTAAAATTCATC